AGATAGAGACAGAGACAGAGAGAGAGATCCATCAAGAGAGTTGCTATAATCTTTATGTAATCACTTAGGTTGATTTCCTATCTTTGCAATTGTGAATTGTGCTGCATTAAGCATGCACATGTAGGTGTCTTTTTCATGAAATGGCTTATTTTCCTTTGGGTAGATATCCAGTACTGGGATTGCTGGATCAAATGGTAGATCTATTTTTAACTCTTTGAGAAATCTGCATGCTGTTGCGTACTGTTTGCTATAGAGGTTGTGCTAATTTACATTCCCACCAGCAACATATAAGAGTCCCGGGTCTCATCACATCCATGCTGACATCTATTGTTTTTTGACTATAACAATGGTCATTCTGACTGGGGTAACCTAGTAGTACACTGTGGTTTTAATTTGCATTTTCCTGGTGATTAATGATGTTAAACATTTCATGTTTGTTGTCCATTTGTACATCTTTTGAAAAATACCTGTTTAAGTCAGAGACTTAGAAGGAAGGAGCCTGGGAGGAGGAGGGTAAAGGATGAAAAATTACCTGTTGGGTACAAGGTATACAGTTCAGTTGACAGGTACACTAAAAGCCAAGAGTTTACCACTATACAGTTCATCCATGTAACCAAAACCCATGTGTGCCCCTGAAGCTAATGAAATTTGAAAACCTGATGTAATCACATACACATAATCACAGATATCTCATCACCTCTGTCATATTCTATTGGTTAGAAACAAGTTTTGGGTCCTGCTCACATTCAAGGAGGAATTAGCAAAGGCATGAATGTTAGGATGTGGGGATCATGGTGGGAAGAATCCTCAAGGCTGCACACCACAAGAATTTGGTAAAATAATACACAGAAGGACAGGAAAGAAGTGTATAGCTCTGTGAAGAATTACCAGGGCACAGAAAGAGAGAATGGAGGAAGAATATACCAAATAGAACACATAGAGAGCTTGTTCACACCTCTTAACTATTGTTGTTACAGTTGTGATATGATTTTAGGAAGATGTGGCAGACCGTTTCTGTGACTTTGGTAGCAAATGTATATTGGATGTACTTGATTATTCAATTATGTGGGCCAGAGGACACTCATGGGGAGAGATCAAGGTTACCTTTCGCAGGCGGGGCATTTCTAACCGAATAAAACCCAGCCAGTAAAAGCAAGCAACACGCAAAATCTAGGCAGATGTTGCAATGTATGTATGCAATCTTGATCTGAGGAAGATCACACATTTAAGTCAGACTAGAAACTTAGACCACACAAATCCCACCCACAAGCAATGCTCTATTACTATATGCAGAAGCAGTAATTTTTTGTGTACATGCAAATATGCATATATGTTTGTGTGTGTGTAATTGACTAGCTATCCTCATGTCTCCCTATGATGAGTGATGTATTGATTCATCAGACTTTTTGGACACCTACTCTGTGGTGAGCATGATGCCAGCCTCTAGGGATAAAGAGTAAAAAGTGCAATAAATGAACTACCTTCAGGAAGCTCAAATTATTGTGGCAGTTAGAACAAGTCAGCTGACAACTGACAGTTCAGAAATCCATGGGGCACTTCCATTTCGAGTAGATGGGACACACTGAGGGCAGTTCCCACCCTGTCTCTTTGCTTTGATATGTTTCACTACATATCAGTCAAAGTGAACTTCAGAGAAAAAAGCAAAACACGAAATCCCAGACATACAGCAGGACATTATGTAATTATAAGAGGGCGAAGTCACCAAAAAGACAAAACAATCCTAAGCAATCTTCATTGTTTATGCACAAACTGTGAAAATTTAAAATGAAGCCCAAACTGATAGAACTGAAAAGAGAAATGGAGAAATACACAAACATAAGTGAAGTCTCTTTCAGTGTTTGGTAGAATTACTATTGAGAAAATTAATGAGGCTATGGAAATACCCAGCAACACCATCAGCCAGAAAAACATAGTTAAAATGTATAATCATCTAGCAACAGCAGGATGTCTGTGCTGTTCAAGTCCACATGAGATTTTCACCAAGATAAACCATGTTCTGTATTATATAAAAAAAAAAAACTTAACAAAGTTAAAATAATTCAAATCATATAGTTGTTTTTCTCTGACAAAATTGAGTTAAACTAGAAATCAGTAATGTAATATAAACTGGAAAAAATCTAAAAGCACTTGGATATTAAGCAGCGAAGTCTAAATCACCCATAGTTCAAAGAGGAGGTCTCAAGGGGAGTTATAGAACTTAAATGAAAATAAGTTTTACAAAACGTATGGTAGGAAACTGAAGCAGTGCTTAGAGGGGAATATATAATACTAAATGCTTATATTAGAAAATAAGAACATTCTCAAATCAGCAATGTAAGTGTGTATCATAAAGTATTTAAAAAAAGCAAAGCAAATGAAGAACAAATAACAAATACATGCAAACAGAAAGAAAGGAATACTGAATATAAGATCAAAAATGAATGAATTTGAAAACCAAAGAGCAATCAAACCTAAATCTGGTTCTTTCAAAATATAAATAGAACTGATGAATCTATTCTTCACTTTGCCAGCAAGACTGAGAAAAAGCAGAGATGACAAAAATTACAAACATCATACAAATTTAAAAGATTATAAGGAAATAATACAAATAATTTATGCACTTAGCAATTTACATGAAATAGACTAATTTCTTGAAAACCGTTACTAAAACTTATCCAAAACAAACTAGATAAGCTAAATGGTTCAGTATACTTATTTAGAATATCCTGCCAAAATAAATATTTTCAGAGACAAATGGTTTCACTGCCTATTCCACCAAACATTTAAAGTTGGGAAAAAAAAAAAAAAAAACAAAACTATACACAGTCTCTTCCAGAAAATAGAAGTGGAAGATATACTTCCTAACTCAATTTATGAGTCTAACATTAATCTGACACCAAAACCAGGCTATATATAAATTTATATATCTATATATACATAAATATATATCATGGAACACATAAAATATAGAAAAATAATAACATAGCATGACCGCATACCATTAATCCCAGGAGTGCAAGGCTGGTTTTATATTGAAAAAAAACCAAAAAACAAAAAACAATGTAATATACCATATTAACACAATAAAGAAGAAAATGAGTACATGACCCTATAAAATAGTGTTGAAAAGTATTTGAAACAAAGCTCATGTACATTGATGATAAAAACTCTCAACTAACTAGAAATGGAAGGAGCCTTCCTTAACTTGGTAGAGGACATCTACCAGCAACTCCATAACTAATATTATAATTACTGGTGAAAAACGGAGTGTTTTCTCCAGTAGAACGGGAACAGGGGAGGAGTTCCACTCTCACCACACCTATGCAACATAGTACTGGAAATCTTGCTCACTGCAGTAAGGAAGAAAAAGAATTAGAGAGCATATTGATTGGAAATTAATATATAAGGGCATCTTTATTCACAGATAAAATAATTTTCTATTTATTAAATATTAAGGGACTCTAAAACCTCTTAGGTGAAAACACAAATATCAATCCTAGGTCTATATACTAGGAAAGAACATTTGGAAGCCAAAACTTTAAAACAAACCGTTTATAATAGAAATGAAAAATGAAATACTTAGCTATAAATGTAGTAAATGTATAAGAGATCTTTATGCTGAAAACTATAAAATCTTTGTGAAATTTTGAAAAGGAATATAAATAAATATATACATAGATTTAAAGACTCAACATAGTAGGAGTATTGATTCCATTCAAACTGACATATAGGTTTAGCACAATACAAATCAAAATGCTAGCAGGTGTTTTTGTAGCTATAAACTTGAAGACTCTAAAAATTATAAAGAAAAATAAAAGCTAGAGCAATCAAAATAAAAAAGAATAAGATAAGGTGAATATATCTAGTTTATTGTATATAAGCCTATGGTAGTAAGGTAGTGTAAACTGGTAGAGGAATAGACACAATAATCAATTGGACAAAGTAGAGATTCCAGAAATAGACGCACAAAAGTATACTTAATTAAATCTTAGAAAAGGTACAAAATCAAAGGAAAAATGATTTTGTTTTCAACAATTTGTGTTGGAATAATTGGAAACACATTTGCAAAATCATATATCTTACACAAAAATTAACTCAAAATGGATCACTGATGTAAATAGAAAATGTAGAACTATAAGGTTTTAGAAGAACACATGGATAAAATATTCATGTCCAAATGAGTTAAAATAAGAGTTTTTGGTCATGACACCAAAGGCACAATATCACCTCCCTAAAAAGGTTAAATTTGACTTAACAAATTGTTAATAAATTATATGTGTAGGACTCTGTTAAAAGACAAGACAAGAATCTGGAAAGAAATATTTGTAAATCACACTTAAAAAAATGTTCAGTAGAATATATTTTCAACTCTCAAAACTCAAAAGTAAGAAAGCAAACAACCTGTTTTAATAACAAGTGGAAAAAGACATGAATAGACACTGCGAGTGTATTCATATTCCTTTCTTACTGGGTTCTGGGTAGGGGGAGAAGAGGATATTCATAAGGCAAAAAAACCCCAAAAACAAAAATCCCTTGACAAGTTAACATCATTAGCAGTTCAGCAAATGCAAATTAAAGCCAGGGTGGGATACCGTTAAACACCTTAGTAGAGGCATAATATAAAAAGATATTGACAGTATTTAGTTCTATCAAGGATTCAGAGAAACTGGACTTCTAATGTACTGGGAATGGGAATGTAAAATGATGCAGAGACTTTTAAAACATTTTGACGGTCTATTACAACATTAAATAAATACTTACCATAGAGCCTAGCAATCCCATTCCTAGGTTTCTTACCCCGAAAAATGAAAATATGCATTTATAAAAAACACATAGGTCAGGCGTGGTGGCTCATGCCTGTAATCCCAACTACTCAGGAGGGTGAGGCAGGAGAATAGCTTGAACCAGGTGATGAGCTGAGATCATACCACTGTACTCCAGCCTGGGCGACAGAGTGAGACTCCATCTCAGAAAAAAGAAACACACACACACACACACACACACACACACACATGATTGTGTATAGCAACTCTGTAATAGCCACCCAGAAACAAGCCATATGTCTTCAAATAGATGAATTTGAAGTATTACATGTACATGTGGAATACTACTCAATGATAAAAAGGAACAACTATGGATACAGGCAGTGGATCTATTTCAGAAGAATTATTCTAAGAGAAAGAAGCCAGTCTCAAGAGATTATGTACATATGTTTTTTCTGTTTTATCACCAATAATGAATTTTTATTATATGCAACCAAGTGCAAACCCCGACCAATACAATCTATGGACTCATGAGATCTTCATCTGGGTCTCAGTCCCCTTCTCACCAAATTAAGACTCAGGGTATAAATCCATTCATATGACATTTGCAAGAAACAAAGCTGTAGGTTTGGAGAAAAGACAGTGGTTGCCAGGGATTAGGGGTTGAGGGGAGGGTGATTGCAAAGGAATACCACAGGGGAGTTTGTTGGGTGATAGAACGCTTCTGCTTCCTAACTGCACAGCAATCAGAATCTATACATTATATTAACATTTATGAAATTGTACATCCAAACTTTCAAATTTGATATATTAATTTAAACAATAAAATAAATGCAAGTCTATATATTATATGAGCATAAAGTTGACACATATTTTTGTTGTTCTCTCTCAGCACATAACATCATTCCTGGCAAACATTTTACATTTTTAAATATTTGGTGATTGAATGAATGGAAGAGTGAAGAATTTCTGTTGTTATTATTATTTATGTATATATATTTTTTGAGACAGTGTCTTCCTCTTTTGCCCAGAGAGGAGTACAGTGGTGCCAACACAGTTCACTGTAGCCTTGACCTCTGGGGTCATGTGATCCTCCTGCCTCAGCTTCCTGAGTAGCTGACACGACAGGTGCACCCCACCACACTGGCTAATTGTTTTAATTTTAGTTGCGATGCGATCTTGACGTACTGCTCAGGCTTGCCTCAAATTCTCGGCCTCAAGGGGTCCTCCTGCCTCAGCTTCTCAAAGTGCTGGGGTTACAGAAGTGAGCCACACCATCTGGCAAGAATTACCTTTTAAAAGCTGTAAGTTAGGAGCTAGTTTAGGATAAATACGGTGACCACTTGGCCATATATATTTATATGATATGATGATACTTTACAACTATAGATTACCAATAATTTATAAGGCAGACTGTTTTGTATTTAGAGTTTGCAGTATAAGAAGAAGAGTTTTGCATGGGGGTAGGGCTGTGGTCCTTTGATCCAGTTTCTGTTTTAAGAATATCGCACAGCCTGCAGTGGGGAAGGGAAAGTGGAATCTGTAAGTTTTAATTAATGTTATTTCAGTGATTATTCTTCTACATAGATGTTTGTGCATATGATATCTATCTATTTAATTCTAAAAATGGAATTACTAGATCAAAGGTTATATACATTTAGAAATGTTACACATATATTACATGACCCTCCCAAATGGCTACAGTGTTTTATACTTTTACCAAGTCTCAGGAGAGTTTTCAACAGACTTCTACATAAAAGAAAAGCTGATGGCCTAGTGGCTCATATCTGTAATGCCAGCACTTTGGGAGGCCAAGATGGGAGGATTACTTAAGCTTAGGAGTTCAAGACCAGCTTGGGCAAAAAGTTAAAAAAATACATTCCTGGGTGTAGTGATATGTGTGCCTTTGGTCCCAGCTACTCAGGAGACTGAGCTGGAAAGATCATTTGAGCTCAGGAGGTTGAGGCTGCAGTGAGCCAAGATCACATGACTGCACTCTCATCTGGGTGACAGAGTGAAGCTCTATCATAAATAAATAAATAAAGCTGATACAGTATCTGTAATTTGAATTATGTACTGTATGCTCCCCTCCCTCCCTCCCTTCCTTCTTTCCTTCCTTCCTTGAATAATAACTGATGAGTTTTCTGATAATGTATTCACCAACAGGATAGCGTATGATAGACCTCACTTTACTTCCTACCCCAAAATGTGAACATCACAATAATCCAAAATCTCCCTACAAACACAAAGAAACAAACAAAAACAACTCTGTACCATGTATGTAAAAGGTAGCTGGCTTCAGTTCAGTGCTTTTTCAATGAGGAATGCTGCACTTCCAATGAAAACAGACAGCCAGTGTAGAAACTGTTCCTATCCCATTTCTACTGTATGACTCTGATTCATAAATTACTAAAGTGTATTCCTGAGAAATAAATATTTCACCAGCCAGTGACAGACTTATGAGCTAATTAAAATCTGAGCCCTGGAAGAAGTGGTGCCATTAGCTCAATTCACGGGACTGGAAAGTATGTGTCTGCTCACTGACTCAGAGGTAGACGTTTACATATGGGAAGGAGGGGGCTGGCTTATTAAGAACAACATTTGGGTTTGGATGAAGGGAGCTCTCTGTCAAACCTGAGATATTTAAAGAAAAGCCATAATAACAATATGGGAGGTTTCTTTTGCCCATGACAAGAGGGAGATCATATTACATGGTGGTTTTAAGTGTCAGGGCTTGGGGGGATCACACTGTTGAGTTCAGATCCCGGATCTGCCATTTAGCAGAGGTAGAACTTTGGGGGTGATGTTCAGCCTTTCTAAACTGCAGCATCCTCGTTGGTACCATGGGTATAGGAATCCGCAGAGTGGCATGTGTATAAAATGAGATACTACATGCAGCTCCTCAAAAGAGCGGTAGGCAAATACTTGCCCAATAGATGGAAGACACCTGTCATGAGCGTCGACTGTTACATCCACAAGAAGTCATGTTTCAACGTCCAGTTTTTTGTTAAAGATTTCCAGCCTGTCGGATGCTAAGAAGTTGTCTAGTGTGAAGTTTGTTCCCTCAGAAAATGTGGTTAATACTCATTTTTTGATGACTTCTGATGTGCCAAGTCATGGATGGTGCTAAGCATTTTACGGTCACCATGTCATTTCATCATTACAATAACATAGACAATGGATATCATTAATTCTACAGAGGAAACTAAGGAACAGCAACAATGAGTTATCGGCTCTAAAATTTAACCCAGGTTCGTTTTTCTTTTTCCTTTCTTTATTTTGTTTTTTATATTTGCCTAGATTCCCTTTATTTCACACAGTAATGCAAATTATGAGGCCAAGGTTATGACCTCAAACAATGAAGGTTTAATTTACATGGACAGCTGAGCATGGTGGCTCACACCTATAATTCCAGCACTTTGAGAGGCCGAGGCCGGTGGATTACCTGAGGTCAGGAGTTCAAGACCAGCCTAGCCAACATGGTGAAACCACATATTGACTATAAATACAAAAGTTAGCCAGACGTGGTGGCAGATGCCTATGATCCCAGCTACACAGGAGACTGAGGCAGGAGAATCACTTCAACCTGGGAGGTGGAGGTTGTAGTGAGCAGAGGTTGCACCACTGAACTCCGGCCTGGGTGATACAGCAAGACTCTGTCTCCAAAAATAAATAAATAAATAAATTTATGAATAAGCTTTCTTCTCCATGAAAATAATATGTGTTACTTCACACCTGGTTTAACACACACAACATCCCCACCCTGTCTGGCACCAATACAGTTAACATGCAATATTAACTGTATTTTATTATTATTAACTGCATTTTATTTTTGTCCAGAGAATAGTCTGTCTTCAGTTTTGAAGGACTCAGTGCCTTACATGGGCTTTGTTGGGGGTTGTGGGGCAGCACCCGCAGGTCTAAATTGGAATGGGGGTGTTCAGTCCTTGGGAGCTTCGGGAAATCGATTCCTGACTGCTTTGCTGTGAATTGCATAACTCACATGGTAATGTTGCTTCACATACAGCATGGGGAACACATAGGCTTCAAAGACGCTCGCTTTAGAAATGTTCCTGACTGCTGCGGCCTCCACCATGTTTCCAGTGATGAATTTCCTAATGGCCTTGTCCTCGGGCACACATCTGACACAGTGCAGCGAGTAGGCTGAACATGTCCACGGCCCTTTATGGCGTGACTGTTCTTTTTTTCTTTGTCATCTTGGAGGCATGGACTGGAGACCTCAAGTTGTTATTTTAAAATTATATATATATTTGGCTGGGCGCATTGCCTCACACCTATAACCCCAGCAGTTTGGGAGGCCAAGGCATGTGGATCACCTGAGGTTGAGAGTTTGAGACTAGCCTGGCCAATAGGGTGAAACCCCATCTCTACTGAAAATGACAAAAATTTTAGGTGGACATGGTGGCGGGTGCCTGTAACTCCAGCTACTTAGGAGGCTGAGGCAGGAGAATGGCTTGAACTCAGGAGTTTGAGGTTACAGTAAGCCAAGATCGCACCACTATACTCCAGCCTAGGCATGACAGAGCGAGAGAAAAAAAATTATTACAGTCCCAAGAGAAAATCTGATTGGTCCTTCCTAGACCCCTTTTATTTAAACAGCTACGACTGAGGGGTGCACTTCATGTAGTCATGAATGGTGGTCAGTGTTCTACCCCTGAGTGTGATCACAATTTCAGAGAAAGTCTCTGTGAACTAGCCACAGATACCTTCCAGAAGCATAAAATTATTATTCAGCATTCTCCATATCTTCCTTTATCCATGGTTTTGTCAGCAATATGTAATATTATCCATAGTACATGTGACACTATGTTTGCTTGGTTACCAGAGAGGAGATAAGGTTAAAAATAACAATCTCAGGTCTGGTTATAAACATTTTATAAATAACCTATTTGATACTTATTATCACCCTTTGCACTTAGCCACCATTACCAAGGTAAGGAGAAAGAAAGATGTTAAGAAACAGCAGTTTTTGATGACAGGGATTTACTTACAGGTCTTCTAGAATACAGTGTATACTGTATGTGTGTGCACGTGCACACACCTGTGTGTGTGTGTGTGTGTGTGTGGGTGTGTGTGAATGCGTGTGTGTGTGTTGGGAACGCCTACATTCTGTACGAGGGTGTGAATAAGTTGAGAGAGTCAGTAGTAACGGAGATGACAATTTGGGATGTGGTGATGATTTCTAATGTCAAGTTAAGTGCGTAACCTTGGAATGAATGAGTTTCTTTCA